TTGTACTTTCTTTTCTTTATCTCTTCAAAATCTCTTCTCCTTATTTATGTGGCATATACTTTTTGACATCCATTTATACTAGAATGTATATGAATTTCATGAATAGAAAAAAGAATTGGAAAATAAACTATTTTCCATAACACATTGAATAAATTTCAATTCTACTACTGATCACTATTTCAATTGTCTAACTCCAATAAATATCAAATAGATATAATAAACCATGAATTCATTTTATTTAATGGTTCCATTTCTACTTTGTTCACCGCTTTTTTTTTTGAACAAATCAATAATAATTCAATAGAAATTATTACCCCTGATCGATGAATTTTTTTTTCACTTTACACATTTTTTATATGCTGGAAGCATATATCATTGGAAATATAAATGTAATATGTTTGTCTTTTTATTTGTTTATATGTGATATGACTGGATGTTTTTTGGCGATAATTTCAATTTATCATTATTCTAATTATAATTATTTATTATTTCCTTTGTTTAGAATTCTATGTCATTTTATGATTTGACTTAATTTTGTAATCGACCTTTCAAATACCACATGTAATTCATCATTTAATGACTTTTTTTTAATTTTTAATTTTTAAAGGAATTCAGTCTAAGATTTCTTACTTTCAAAAAGAGAACTTTTGTTTATTTTTTTTCTTACCAAAATTTGTTTCCAATAGTTTTATCTATTATATTTGCCAACAATTATATATATGATACTTAAAATCTATAATATTCTTGGTTATTTTTGTTAAACAAAAACATGAAAGAATAGTTTTTCTATTGATTGATAAGTATAAATTGTTTTGATGAAGTTTTGTTCTTTGAGTTGAATAGTTTGATCGTCCAAATCATTCAGCTCAAAGAACAAAATTCTATCAAAATCATCCACCTGAGCTACAAATCTTCTTCACCATCTTAGTATAAATTATGTTTAGTGTTAAAATAAATATTGAAACATGAAAGAGATTGTTTTAATTGATGATGAAACAAGAGTTGTGTTCTGTAAGACTGTTAGGTTAATCGATTGTATTTATTAAATATGATTCCACTTAAGGTAATATTGAAAACCATTGAGAGATGGACAATTGTTTCATATTAATATGAAACTCCTCGTCACTTCGAATCCATGATTTTGTCAGAGTTCAAACACATAGAATTTAGGTTTCATGATAGTTATTAGGACCACTGGGTCGAAATTCATTGGTGTATGTTGTCAACTTCAATCGATTTGCGATATAGCCCAATGACTAACCAATATCACTGGCATAAAGTATTGAACTGAACTCTACCAGTCATAACTGAAACAAATCCCTAGTGAGCTGATTATTATAATTTATTTCTAGAGGTTTTGTAGAGATGGGTATGATATTTTTAAATCGTAATTATCACACTTAATCTTTAAACTACTTGCTGTTTTTCACCGTAACAACATGGAATGATTCTAATTTCTAGTAGTAATACTATTGGCCATAATATTATAAAACAATGGATACTTAGGTCATAAATATTTTATTGTTCTATTTATTTTTCAATTGTTACTTGAATTTATTCTCCGTTCTATTTTGTGAATATGAAATATGCCCACTGGCAATGATACAGGTGCAACTAATTTTTGCTTTCCCTTAAATTCTAAGCTTCTAAATTCATCGTAATTATTTTTATTTTCCTGAATCATATGTTTGATGTCCAATCTTTTCTTTTATGACCTCTAGTACTCTAAGATTTCACTATAACAATTTCATCTTTCTGTATTAATAGAAATTGGCAACTTGAACCGATATACATACAAACCAGGTTCTACGTTACAACTGACCTGTAATTTTCTGTCCTTATAACATTGTCAAGTCATTAAAGAATTACCCGTGTTTGTTATCTAATTGTACAGAACTAATTATGGTCCAACTACATATTTAATCTTTAAACAGTTGTTTTATATATAATCTAGAATTTGGAGAAATCTAGTAACATAATCTATAGTACATCCAAGCGTACTGTAGTTGTATTATTTTCCTTATTGTTCTTCTATATATCTCAAGCTTAGTGGCATTTCAGAAGTTTCGTTCCATTTAATCCATTTCTTTTTAGAATATATAATTTATGTTTATATTTTCATTGGAAACTATGTTTTCATTTCTCTTTTTAGATGCTTTTCCTTACTAGCTTATTTACCGTGACATGTGACATATCCATATCAGATCGATAACTTACTAACAGTTGTTTTATGCTTGATTATAAGCCTATGTGTCAGAAGATAAAAATTTTAGAATACAGTCATTAAAATAAATGAATGTTGTGTTCAACTTAACTAGATGGCTTGATTACGGATTTCTTTTGTCATTTTGGACAAGATTATCGTTGCCTATTTCAAATAAGAGTGAACCTTTCATTTACTCTATGAGTATTACATAAAATGAAAACAACAGGACGTACAAAGACTTACATTGACGAAATAGGCTATCATGACGAACTAATGTTACATTTGTAGAATAACTTAACGATCACTTTGTCGATATCCAGGACTAATTTTTAATCTGTCTTTTTTAGTGTTTGTGAGTAGATGTCTCGATATTACATTTGAAACTTCAAATTTTAATGTGTTTGAATTGTGCATTTTAAATTCGGCTGCTTTTCCTACACTTAATACTAAACTCTGTAAATTAAAAGGAAATATTATCAAATCCATTCAGGAGAGAGTACGAATAAACGAACAAAAATGATTGATAGACTCACAATTTGTGATATATAAGATTACACAGACATTTCAACAATGAACTTGTTCACAAGCATTTCATTTAACAATAGATTATTATCTAGTCATATATGAAATCAATTTATAATGACTTATGTCGAGTATTTCAAACAACAAACAACGATAGAAAGAAAGAACAGTTAACAGAAGACGTGAATCAGATTCTTCAAAAGTCTGATATGTTGTTCTTCTATTAACAACAGTTAAGTATTCATGACTACAAAGTTTAATGAACAGTGAATAGAGACTGATTAGCAATCAATTCCACTAGTAGTGAAAGTTCCAAATGAGAAATATCACATTAATATCACGAGTCGATCAATGTTAGACCACTGTTGAAAATCTGGAAGTATCAGACAATTATTTAGTCATAGTATGAGATTCCACAGTAGTGCGTATCTACCATGACCACCTCAGTTGGGAATCGAACTCACAACCTATCATCTCACGAGCAAACACTTGACCTCTACACCACTGAGCTGTCATTCATACTAAGACCGAACGAATGTGATCTTTGAGCTGGTCGATTAAATCGCACAGCCTTCATTGTCTTTCTGAACAGCATGAAGTAAGCGTTAATGATGATAATGTCTAGAATGGCAATAAAAACTTTTATTTAACTTAAGATTGTAACATTTAAAATATGTTTGCACTTTTTTCTCGTTTCTAAAAAAATTGATTAAATTAAAATAATTATTATTATTGAATGGTTACTATCTACTTAACTGTTCATTGATGCTTAAAGTCTTTCGGGTCAGTACACAACCACAATATTGGATGTTATTAATCAATATTACCTGACTATTTAATGAGATCACAATCCATATATTTATACTTCATTAAAGGTATTCTAATTAGTTTTCAATTATTTTAATTCCATACACAATATAATATAGGAAACAAGGAATAATAAACAAATGAACATCACGGAACTTTAAATCTGGTTTAAAGACCAACACAGTCGGAGTAAACTGATTACGCATATATATAGGTGAATAGCAGTTAAGGAAAACTTATACAGAGTAGTTCATGAAGAATTACTTGGCTATGTAAGGTTTAATCTTTACTTCATTGAGCAAAAGAAAAAACAAATTGCTGGATATTAAATCAAACTTGGTTATCAAGAATGTGATTAAGCTAACTATTATAGCTGTATTTGCGTGTGTGTAATATATTTGTCATTAAGAATATTATTTAACTCGTTAAATCTTCTGATTTGTTATTATTGTGTTAAGAGCATTTTGATAATGATGTAATTTGCTACTAGTAGCTATTATTTTAAGTGTTGTTAGAGGTATGTAGGCGGTTGTCACTTATTGGTGGCATTTATCGTGGAAGAGTGCTTCTTCTTGAAGTACTTTAGATAGAGGCTGCGTTAGTAGTGGTCTTGATAACCTAGGAGTGTGACTATAGCACATAGGGGACAACTGCTTAAGGCTGTTCACACACAAAATTTTGCAAATTGTTCTAGATATGTTAAGGTCATACTTTAAGATCTTTACCATGGGTAACAGAAAACTATGAGTCTAGTTAAGGTATGATATTTTATTTATTCTAAACCCCTCTCTTTGTGAGATGACAGAATTATCTTAGATACTAGTTTTCTGAGTGGAACTCCTTATTGCTACCCATGATCCAGTACTGTCAGTTGTATGACCTCTCCCCGGACCCCAAGTTTTTAATCTACTCATCTTACAACCAACATGTGTAGCATGATAGCACCTAAAGAAATAGGTTTTCCAGCTAATATAACTTGACTAACTTACCACGTTATACAACCCCTAACCATCACTTTGAAATAGCAGTTATAGTTGGGAATTAGGCGATTCGAATTATTACTAATCTATGGAAGTATAGATAGACCAATTATTCTTCTCAAATTTATATATACATTAAAATTGTAAATTTGTGATTTGGTCGTTGTGATATTTAGCTTTTACCTGTTAAGTTATTTAGGTTTAAACCATCCAGTTTTGCTTACCTCGTTTTATATATTTAGTTGATAGGATAGGTAAATAGGTATCAACTATCAACTTATGCATGTGTAATAAGGTCGAATAACATGACGTTTTAAAATGAATATTTAATATGAATTTTAAGTGATGAAATGTGTTATTTTTCTTAAATATTTAACATAGTTTCTGTTACCTGTATATAAATCAGTACAGAAAGAAAACGGGTCAAAATAATAATAATATGAATAATAATAATAACCGTTGTTTACTTTTGTTTTATATTTTAGTGTGTAATCTACTTGTTTAGTTTGAAAATTCTACATCCACGCAGTCTGTTTCTTCTACGTGGTAATCATGAATGTCGTCATTTAACACAATATTTTACATTCCGACAAGAATGTGAGTGTTTTATTGATATTATTATTATCACTAATATTGTGATAAGAGTTTTTATATTCTTTTATTGAATTCTTTATAGAATAAAGCCTAAATTAAACCAAGAAAACGTGTTGAATTTATGCTGGTTTTTCATAGATTAGTAGTAACCAAAACCATATTTGTCGGTAAAAGTATACGTTACCGATGAATTAATCAGATTTAAGATGGAGGTTTTTGGAAGTTTGCGTGAATTTTAAATCGTAATGACTTACAACTTCTATCTTATTTAAAGCTAATTAAGAAATAAGTAAACTCTACCAAACCTTGGTTACGAAGATGCTCACTGTTTGTAAACTTAAGAAGAATAAAGAACAGTACCTTTGTTTTATAGAGTTTTGATATTTATAATCAAAGAATTACATTTATATATGTATTCGTCCGTCTGGGTGCTTAGCAGTTTCTTACTCCATTCCTAACCATTAATCCTAGCCCTAAATCAAGATCCTAACACAAACTCAACTTTAGTCTTAAATCCTAACTGAAGCCTTTTATCGAGTTTTTACTTATCCTCATTCTGATTAGTTGAAAGCGAGCTTTACTGTCCTGAGATCATTTTAGAAGTCACTGGGGGTCTTTGTTAAGGCCTCTCTTCATCTATGTCTCTGGTCCTTGGTACTAGCACTTGGTTACTTATCCCTAGTCTATGTAACTTTAATCTGTCCTATAACTGATTCCAGTTATATTGTATGATGATTACTATCGAAATATACGTCCCGGTTACCCTCGTATATAATCATCAACTTAAATTGTGTTAGTGAATAACGGAATTAAATAAGTCAAATGAGAATGGATTTCCAATATGTATATTTCATACAATTGTTGATCCAGACAGGAGATCAGAGAAACGAAGCGAAGAGGAGAGAGCGAAGGGAGACGAAATAACGGGCGGTGCAGAAGGCGAGTGAGCCAACTCGATTTTATCAAGCGTGACCTATCGCTTATATTCAGACAAAAACAAGTTAGACACAATGAATAAGGTATGTAATTAACACACATACGACCATATAAAATACAGTCGGGCTGAATTATGTGACTGTGAGACTGAATGAGTGCTTTCAATCTTAACCGATTTGGCCTCACGATCAAAAATTGTTCTAATAATCGAATTAGTGGAGGCTGATTGATTTGCGAGAACCTAAGACATCTCTAGTGAAGAAAAGTGTGTATCTGAACTAGCAAATGATGTGTAGCTATGCTCACTCGAAGGTTATATGGCTAAATACAAGGACATAAATTGCGATGCACAATAAAGTAAAAAAGAATACCATGCATGCCGAAAACAGGTCATTTAGGGTGAAAATCAGAATAATAATCTTGTGACTATAGTACAACAATAGTTTGAGAATCGAATAAGATATAGCGATATTTTATAGATCAGACAAAAACTGAAGATTAACGTTATAAGAAAAATAGTATAACGCGATTGTTCATAATATCGCATAATAAACAAATATCTTAAAAAATAGGTTATTTAGTTTGTCAATTTTCCTTTGTTTTTCTCGTCATAACACCTTTTCAAGCAAATAATTCATCAATTATTCTATGATGTAATTTTAAATAAGACGAACCATTTTTTCATTAACTGATAGAATCGTTGTCACTATGTGGATTCCTGGAGATTATAGCATTTTAACAGTTGAATTCACGAGGCAATGTAAGCTAAGCCATCGTTTAAAATAAAGCCCTAGTGATTAACTTCATGGTGGGTTTTCTGGAGTTCTAGTGAGAAGACATGACCAGTGGAGTCCAATACGTGTTGGGTGTGAGACAGTTATCCACCTCAAACATTGGATGTAGAATTGCGCAAAAACCATGGACCGATTGAGGTTGGACATTAACACGGTTGGATCTCGGCTCAGTGGTTTAGATGTTAAACGTTCGCGCGCGAAACCGAATGTCCTGGGTTGGAGTCCTGTTTGTGGGATCATGGATGCGCGCTACTGAGGAGTCCTATATATGGACGAAACGCCGTCCAGTGCTTCCAGATTTTCAACGGTGGCTTAGCTTAAATTGACTCGTGAATTCATCTGTTAAAATACTACAATCTCCACAAATCTCCATACTGATAATATATGTTGTTCTAAACTCAATATGATTGTTCAATTACAATTAATAGATCTTATCAACAATTTTTCAAGTACATATATATATATATATATATATATATATATATATAATCGCTTTTTTCTGTATATCGTATTATACAATGCAATCAGTATTATGTTAATACTAGTAATGGTCATAATGAGAGTAAATCTTGACAAATATACATGCATTGTACTGATCTGTTCTTTTTTCCTATCAACGTTATACTTATATCGTACATAGTGGTAGTAGTAATATAATTGTAATTATCATTAACACCATTATTTCTTGTTCCTATATTATAAATGTTTACATTTTTGTGCTTGAACAATATTAGGTATTATGAAGAGTACGGAACATGTTTATGACGCTTGTATGGAAGCATTTGACCTTTTACCATTAGCTGCATTGATCAATCAACAATTTCTATGTGTACATGGTGGGCTATCACCTGAATTGCATACATTAAATGATATACGCAAGGTAACGTAGTGTTTCTTTTCTTTCGTTCTCTTATTGTTTGTACTTATTTACTTTTTTACATTTTTCTAACTATTTATTTTGAAAATACACTGTATGACTGACAAGTTATCTACTTTAGCGTATAAATTCGTTGAAAATTAATTGAAAAAATTTATTGATTCAAAGGTTAGAAAGTCATTGTAACATAACGAGTATCTTGAGTTTGATAATCGGTTGGATTGTGTTTGCACACTGTTACTGAGGTGTTACATATTGAGATGAAATAGCTGCTGTCCAGTGCTTTCTGGTTTTCGACGATAGTCTAACTATTATCAATCCCTAATGCAAACTATGAAAATTTATCTATATCCATTATACTCTTTTGTTAATAATCAGTGACTTTAATTGACCGTCTTCTTTTTTTTAGTTTTTTATAATATCAAAACTGACATACTCATAGGCTTGATGGTGTGTGTGTGTGTAGATGAGATAGATTGAGAGAGGCAACACATGAATGGCCCAAAAATCTAGGAAAATATTTGATCACAGCAAGCAAATAATTCCTGTTTGTTAAATAATATATGTGAGGTGGTGTTTTAGCCGCTAATATAACACATCATCATTATATTGAAATATTTCCATGCAGAAAAAAGAGAATATAATGCCGTTTAATCTCACTGAAACTATTGGAACGTTGTCGATGAGAGGTCTCATACTAGAGCAAAACAACTCTTTATTGCTCTCATATATTTGAAAATATTCTCTCCCTCTCTTTTTCTGGTAATTAATCTGTAATGAGAATTAAGTGTACGCAGGGGGATTTTTTTATTTTTTCAATAAGAACTATTTCCAAGTTAGTCAATGGGATTAGAGTATTTTTCGTTGTTGAGTCAATTATTGTCAGTCTTTTATTTGAACTAATTTTTAAACTCATACCTTTACGATGAATTGATTGCTGACTGAGCAGTAGTGATCAAATATCACGTTTATGTAGTCCATTTTTCAATCGAGTCGCAATGTGACTATTACTAGTCTAAGTACAGTCAACGTTGTGTACACTATGTTAAAATGTTAGATGGTTGATGTTAGTTGACAGTAAACCGTTTTTAACCCAAGTTTTATACTGCTTGATACTTGTCCACAGTAAAGTGTACCGTCAATTTTGAAAGAACTAATTCTACTTCTTGGTGTAAATTCATTTCATTATCAATCTCAGTTATGTACAATTTAGTAATAGTGCCAACAATTTAAAGATTTTATACAATAACTTTCAACGTTTTTTTTCTCTCTCAAAGTTGGATCGATTTAAAGAACCACCAGCATTTGGTGCAATGTGTGATTTATTATGGGCTGATCCATGTGAAGATTTTGGTCAAGAAAGAAATTCGGAACATTTCAGTCATAATACAGTTCGTGGATGTTCATATTTCTACAGCTTTAATGCATGTTGTCATTTTTTACAAGCTAATAATTTACTGTCTATTATACGAGCTCATGAAGCACAAGATGCCGGGTTAGTTGATATGTTTTTTTAGCATTTTATCATTAAACTAATTAAGAAGAAATAATGAAAACAATTCTCGGAGAAGAAAGCTTTCTTTTCATCGACATCATTTTCTGAAAACTGTACAATCGTATTATTTATGGGTAATTTTTTAAATACATGTAATAGTCTACGGCGAAATAGGGAAGTTTTTCAAAATTGTCATAAAATAGTCAAAAAATATGAAGTGGTATTACATAATATAATCAAGATTATCAAAAGATCTTAAGTATTGAATAAATCGAAGGGGTGAAAGTTGTATCATTTGGTAAAGTAATCAAAAATCGTTAAGACCTAAAGTTGTGTAATAGTGTTGGAAGTAAGAAAAAGTTATAATTTATGAAATAAAATCAGAAGATAACTGTCTACTTTACGAAGTAGAAAGTGAAGAGTAAGAAAATAATTAGTACTTACGATTTGTAATATTCGGAGAGATGCTGAGACAATACCATGGGGAAATGAGGGATTGAACATGACTCTTTTGTACGCAGAAGTCGGGTTTGAAATGGAGAAAAGGTATACTCTCCATTGTGCACAAGTTTCTCATCCAAACCTTTTTTTAGAGCCAGTACGTTTTACTTTGTAGAGGATTTCGCACTATGATTCACGTGGTGGGATGTGACCCAATTATCTTGATTATATTGCGCAACACTAATTCCTTGACTTTCACGTCCAATAAGGGAATAAGTTGAACTATCTTTGATAATTTTGTAAGACTCTTCTATTTTACCGTGGAATATCACCTATATAAAAATCTACTTTGAAATACAATTGTACGACTTCAGAAAATGATATCTTCATAAAGAAAGTTGTCATCACTGAGAAGTGTCTTTATTCCTTTTAGTGATTCTGTGACTATTTTTTTCGTGAAATAACTGTTGATCACTTTTCATATTTAAGCTTTCAATAGTTTCCTTGGTAATTTTTCTATTATCTTGTTAACAGGATACATTTTGGTGGTTTTCAGTTACTGTATTATCGAAACATAAAACGTTTAAGTAAAGATAGTTCTATTTAATGGTAGTAGAAACTGTAATACGTTTCAAGGAAAAAAAGTAGATGAAAAGATTTCAAAGCATGGAGTTAAATAAAAATTGAATACATACACTGTATTGTAATCACTTTCAAACTATATCACTAAGTTCATTAATCGTAAGTTGAACATATATGTGGTATATGCTACTTATGTTGAGAGGTATAAGTAGTACGTATTACCGATTACAAGTGAAATTCCTGGCAGCAGAAGTTTTAGAAGATCGAATTGAAGAGAACAGGAATGTCAACAGAGAGTAACTGTAACAATAACTGGAATGAAGGAACGATGAAGTTAGTGAGAAACAACTGGTAGATGTGTAAATTATGTATTTGATATAGGGTTTTCATATTTTAAGAAGGTATTATGTAATTTTGCACTAAACAATAAATTGGTCTATCCACTTAAGTTTTCGCTTACTACATATATACACATATGTTACAGACTCTTATCATCTAAATGTCTGCATCCCAGATCAGTAGACATTGACTTCATGTACTGCTTTCAATTATTGTTTAGTAGGTAGTAATTTTAAAGTAGTTATTTGTGAATTGACATAGGATATGAATATACAGTAGGTAGTACCTTGGAATACGTGAGACATATCACGAAACTACATTTGACGATATAACGTCTTTTCTCCATCACCAGTTTTATCACCTTTTATTGTTCATGATGATCACAATTTATTATAGTTTGAAACTTCTCATATATACTCATCTATGATCCAAGTTAGAATTGAGTTCAAAGGTTAGTCACGCTAACAGTTTTCCATTGATTACGTAGAATGCCTGAAATATACGATATTTATCGTGACTCAATTGTTGAACAGTGTTATATTGTCTGAGATGCTTTCAGGTTGTAGGTTTATTCTTGTGAGGAGTCCCAAGGTAGGACGAAATAACTTACAAGTGCTCTTTATTTTTCAACAATAATTTCCCAGATGAAAACAATTTATTATGAGAGTCTATTGTCATAGGGTAGCCAATAATTCATTAGTTTTTATCGTAATACTTCAAGATACACTGTAATAATAAACATTTCTCAACTACTGTTGTTGTTTGCAGAAAAAACAATCTGTAGTTTCAGTTGTCTTTTTAAGACTGTTTGTATGAATGCCTAGAGTAAGAGGACGTGATAGAAAAATGAAAGCTTCAATTACAATAAATGTAATATGTCCAACAATTTCACAATTGTTTATTATGCTTAAGGTTTTTATGAATCTTTCTGCACTGTTGATGGATTCTGTTATTTATACAAAGGTATCTATCCTGTGAAGAAGGGATGATCGAAAATTATTGAATTAAAGTTAGTTAAACAGTCATCGAAAACTGAGAAACAATAGAGATCTGTTTTGTCTTAGTATGGGACTTCTTAGTAGTATGCATCAACAAACCCACACACGGGAATCAAACCCGAGACCGTCATGCCTCTGAGCGAGCGCTTTACCTCCAGATCACTGAGCTGATATCTTATGATTTACATGTATAACTTCAGTAAGTACTGTCTGGAACAACCACCTCCCAATACCATTGATAGGCCTAATATAACTGAACACGAATGTTCATGGCTTCTCACCAGTACTCCAGTAATTGTTCCTGGAAATTTGTAACTAGTACTCAGTACAGGAGGTTTGTGGAGCTAGTTGATCCTTTTTCTGCCCACAGATTGTTCGATTCTGACACAATTATTGTATAAACATAAAATTATAGTCCTGCTATTTTATTCCATTTGATGCAAACTCAATGGTTTAAGGATTAATTGTCTGGCACCAGACATAAAAGTTGTGGGTTTGGTTCTCGATGTATGGGGTTGTGGATATACACTCCTGAGGGGTTCCATACCAGGACCAATTTAGCTATCCAATACTTCATAGTCTTCATTGATTATTTAATGAAGGCCAGTCTTTGATGTAAACTTCAGTAAAGAGAAACTGATGAAGGGCTTTTTAGGTCATATCTGTTACAGGTTGATCATATTTAGCAATGGTACCACTGTAAACCGAGGACTATTTGAAAGCTGTCTCATTATAATATGTGGAACTCCTCAGTAGTGCATATTCATTTGTTGTTAAATTTCATTGTGAATTATATTGGCTAATAAATTGGAAAAATATTGTATTTCAATATGTATGTCTTTGAGGTTGTAAGAATACCAAGACTTATGATGATTATTATACTTCCTTATTATTAGCATAAAATATCTTCAAGAGATACTGATCATTTATTACCATAATCTATTATAAATTATTGGCATTAATTACATAGTGTGAAGTGATTAATGCGAATTAATAAATTGTTTTGAAGTATTTACATTAATTCTCACTTGAATCATTTAAAAACCATAAAGTGGTTGTCAGTGAATGTTTGTAGTATATAAGCGAAACCTAAAATAAATGTACAACCTATCATTATTAAACATATTTGCAAATCTATTGTGTTAACATAGGAGACTTGTGAATATTGTAGTATTTTTCATAGTTTAAATCATGAACTGCTTTTAGCTAAACCACTGTCGAAAATCATGAACGAACCGGTTTCATGTGCAAATACCTAACGCTTAAACAATTAGGCCCGGCATCCAATAGTGTATATGCCTAATTGATGCTTTCAGGCTCGATTTCCCATGATTAGGCCGTGAGTGCGCACTATTGAGGAGTCTTTTATTAGGACAAAACAGGTATTCATTTCTTCATGATTTTCATCGGTGCTCTAGCTAATACCATATACTTCGTTTTCTTCTGATGTTACAAATTGTCTTTTTGTTGACAAATTTTAGTTCATTGATAATGTAGTAAAGACGTTTTGCAAAATTTAAGAAAAATATTAGCTTTATTAATTAGAATATGAGAAAATTACGCATATCTATATTTAGAAAGATACGATTTAATATTGATCAGACACATTTAACAGTCGATAAGTCACATGGAACATAGAACCTGACACATATTTAAATCCGTTCAAGTTGCCGTACTGTATCAGCACAGAGAAATAACATTATCAAGAAAAATGTCAGAGTAGCGGAAGTGTTGATAATATAAGTGATACTGAAAAAGGTCAGACATCGATAGTATGGTTCGAAAAAGAATAAATAAAGGGTTTATGATAATTTTCAAACTCCAATATCTAAGTAAACATAAAAAGTATGTGGATCTACTTCATCGCGACCAATAATTAAACTACAACAACCATTATTTCCGGTCATTAGTCGTAATAACCATGTAAACCTCGACCAGATAGTTTGCAACTACTAACATGGCTCAATTTAACTGTCAACGACTTCATTGCTTGATGCTACGTCTTAGTTGATCCACTTTTAGCATTCTGTCAACTTACTGCTATCACTGACAAATATCATGCGTTGATGTAGGTGGTAATTGGACATACATAATCCATGTTTCAACTATATTTCACTTTTTTAAAAACATTTTCTTGAAAAGAAATTACATGAATCACCATTTTTGATGTACTTTATTAATCCTTTAAAAAATGAACTTGTTTGAATGTCATCATTTTTGTTGATTTGTTTTTATCCTTCATTTTTGTTTTCTTTAATTTTAGTTATCGAATGTACAGAAAAAGTCGACAAACTGGATTTCCTGCTTTAATTACAATTTTCTCTGCACCAAATTATTTAGATGTGTATAATAATAAAGGTAAGTTCAGTTAACAATTTTACTAGTACCGTTGTGAACAAATACTTAATGGGGATCGAATTACAGAGTGCCTTCATAAAATATGAAAATTGTACATTAAATACATTATTTGCACATCTTCCATGAGTTGTCTTTTACATTCTTCATGATTTATTCAATTCTGTTTTTATTACAATCGCTTTCTATCCTCTTCGTTTCAATCTTCTCAATCCTCTGGCATACATTCCACCTCTGATCGGCATTGCATACTACTTATATCTGTTTAGATAAGTAGCATACACAACACTACTATTACTGTTTTTATAAAATTTGAGACTTAAATCTAATGGTTTGTACAATCACTCGTTTTCTAGTCTCTCGAATCACGTAGATTTGTTTAGAGTTGTTCGCATTTTACACTGCTGATCATTTCATTGTCATAATCAACATTAAAAAAGTGATTGATGGACACTTGATATGACAATACCTTGTGTCTAGATTCGATGCTACTGTTGAAACTTGTGATCTTCAGGGAACTTATAATATTCCTTTTTAAGATTTGGGCCTACATCATTCAATTTCACATTCTGTGATATTTATCTCTGACCTATTCAGGCTTGTTTTATGTGAGTTAATTAACTTAACTTCCTATAGTAGGAAATTGAAAAGATTCTAAATCCGAGAAATGACTAATAGAATAGCAACAACAATCATATCGACACAAAACGACATATTCGATCCACTTTTAAGCTTATTAAAAGAAGTAAGACTTTAATTAAAAAAATAATGATAAAAATTATAAAAGAAGCATGTAGCTGTAAACACGCTCTGTGTACATGTATGCTTTTAATTTGTTTCTGGCATTGTCTTCATTGTTATGATCAACAACAGCAAATCATGTTATTTCATATTGTTCTACTTACTTTTTTGTTAGTTAGATCTTACTTGATTAGATGTTTGCTTGTTTGTTTGTATGAACATGTTAGCAATTCAATGACAAGATGGAAATGTGAAAAATTTCTTTCATGTGTGTATGTGTTTAACATTATCACTGATAAACGGAGTTAATCTATTGAAATTTAATATCCATTTCTTTAAAAAATAAGGGGAAAAAATATTTTTTTCTTTACTTAAAATTTGTTTTCATTAAAGTAAAATCTTGTTAATCCTATTGTTTTAAGCTGTGATAATCTAAACTCACTAGCTTAGTGGATAGTTTATGTCGTTTGAAGCAATGGTTATTGGACTCAAATGTCGGTTTGAACGTTAATACTGTGATGCTGTCACATCCGAATAGTAATTGTATTTCTTGAACTTCAATCCTACTCACAGTCAAACTTTAATAAAGATTTTGGACTTAGATGTATAATACATACATTAAACTGTGAACAAGCTTTTATCACATTTGGCTTTGCTAGTTATCTAATTAATGAAATGAGTGTAATTGTAGTATCAGTCGTATTAGTTATTACAAATATTTGCAGGTTATTTACTGACGAATTTTTTACTCCAATTCGTATCCGACTTATATTTATTATCTTTTAATCTCCCGTTCCAAACACATGCAAATAATCTTAGTCTTCTAAAAAAAGTCAAGTCAAACTTGTATGTTTAGTTTGAAACTGTGACTATGTTTTGTACTTTGGAATATTAACAATCTGTATGGCGAGATTCAGGAGGCTAATTTCAGCCTATATGGGACACGTCAAGAAGACTCATCGATCTTCGTCTCAGTATTGATGTTCATATCAATACTGGAAACTTGTATGCACACCCTTTACTTAGAATATTATGTGACTGTGTTCACCGTTCTAATTATATTGATATGTAAGCGGAGATTGTTGAATTTCTTTGAAATCATGAGTCGACCAATGTCAGACAAACATTAGAAACCTCGGAGCATTGTTCGTCCGTTTCGTCCTAGTATGAATATGTATATATACTTCAATGAGAACACATGCAATCTGGAAAAACGTCATCAAAGAAAGAACATTTCTTTTAGGTTGAATCGTTTTTTATCTTCTCAGATCTATTAAAATAAAGGTATTTGTGAAAACGTTTCTATTCTAATATTTCAATTTAATGGGTTTTTCGATTGAAATGATGGCGAATATTTGTAGCTCTGATTGTGAAGCCTCATTACTATTTTTTATTTAATTATGCGTATTTAAAGAGGTGACTTCTTTATTTCGCTGTGTTATTTTTTCTCATAGTTTAGTTTCTTTTTTTTTCTAAATAATGTTATATTTATATTTCTTTGCTGTTATGAACTGACATCATATACAATCACTAATATCTATCAAGATTATTAACTGAAGAAAGTACAATAATATTAGAGCATTTTAAAGTAATAAGCAATCAGTAGACAAGTCAATATTAATCCAGTCTATGGATCCGACCAGAACAGTGAATTCATTTTAGAAGGATAGAGATAAACTAATGAAGACAGGAAAATGAAGATGGAAAAATCCATGATTATAGCTAAACACAAATAAAGCTATTAGAATGAAGTGATATAATATATGTGAAATAGTTAGAAAAATCACTTGTACATGAATCAGTCTCCAAAGATGTTGTCTAGAATGACAATAAGAATTTAGAATTAAACTGTCTAGCTTGAAGATCTCAACATTGCCAAATTAAAGACTGGTTTTAAAATGTATTTTCTGGAGTTCTAGTGAGAAGCCGTGACCAGTGATTTCAGTCCATGTCGGGTATGAGACAGTTATCCGCCTCAAACATTGAATTTAGAATTGCACTAGATCATGGACCAACTGGAGTCAGACAATAACACGGTCGGATCTCGGCTCAGTGTTCTAAAGGTTAAGCGTTCACGTGCGAGACCGAATGTCATGGGTTGGAGTCCTGTTTGTGGGTTCATGGATGAGCGTTGCTGAGGAGTCCTATATACGGACTAAAGGGCCGTCTAATGCTTCCAGGCTTTCATTGGTGGTCTAGCTTAAATTAACTTATGAATTCAACTAATAATGATTATGTATATAAACTAACTATAAACTAACTCTCGCTACAATATTTTAAGATATTTTGCCTGATTTGTGATGAAGTTGTGCTCACTAATTTGTGAACTATCTCATTCTAGGATTAAGTAACTGTCCAATCTCTACTGGTTTATGATGGATGCTTAAATAGAATTCATTGAGTTACCTAAATTGCAAAATAAACATTTTTTTTGTAATTCTAAGACGAACTAAATCCAGAAATTTAATAAACTGTTTATGTACACTATATATCACATTTAATTTGTGAATAGCTAAGATTTAAACATTAACACGAATTTATGAAGGTTATATTAATTAAAATAGTTTTTATTTGGGTTGAGTTTTTCACAACTATAGAATGTGAAGAAAGTTTGTGAATATTGTTAAAGGATCACTTCTGACAGATTACTTATCGAAGTTTGGATTCCTCAGTTATATGTTATCTTTCAATAGAATTCTTAATAGGATCTATTACTTGGAATCGTGAAAGTAAACATATTATTCAAGATGTGAATACTTGACAGTACTTTAACTTCGATTAATTTTATTATGCAGTGCAGTGATCGTTTAAGTTAGGTTGAAATGTCTATTTAATGTTATCAAGTTAAATCCAAATGTTTCACAAACGATATTGATGTAAAATGTCCTGGTACGGCCGAGAGTGGGGAGAATTCGCTCACCCTCTCGAAATGCTCTCACATGGCCATACGTATATAGTCTCTGCCAGGGAAGTCCTACTCACTGCCTTCTCGTGGCGGGGGTGTTGTTTACTAAATTGAGAGAACGAAAAGAGAATGTCCGGCGCTTTAATCGGGCTGGTGGACACGAAGAGTCCACCTAGGGGAGTTGGAAAACCCTGATTTCAAACCAGTGGTGCATATGGACTCCAGGATCCTAAAGGAACAAATGGCGTATAAACCAATCGTTGATCACCGACTACCATGGGACTGTATCTCCTTACGATGCTCCACTGTCTTGTGAATCAGACCTTCAGGTCGAAGGCTCCGGATGTGGTCCCCTAATAAAACCACTTGCTTCGGTTTGGGCACCCGAGGAGTACCACTGCCCTTACAGAAATCAAATGAGATTCGTGTGGCGCATATATATTTGGTGCCTCCTTGTACCAATATCTATGTGTTCAAATAATAATAATATTGATTAATGATAATTTTAATAATTATACTTAATAATCGATACATTCTGATGGGTTCTGTTCCACATAATCTGTTTGTCTTAACGTTCATCTGTCTTTTGACTCATAAGAATGTTAAAGATATCAGTTACATATTTTTTAGTTATTTTTAATAAATGTTTTTTTTATCGGTTATTTAACTAAATATAGTTACATGTCGATTGATTGTAAATCAGTTTTATATATATCTCATTCCTTCTTTTCACATCTATTAATAGACGTATGTAGACTAATAAAAAAAAACATCATAAGTTTCTTTTTTGTTTGTGAACATTTTTAACATCTTCAATATGAAGGAGTTATTGACTTGTTAGTGACTGAATTTTAGATGAATTCTTGAAATTCTGTTGAGAAATCATAACTAGTTAGGTTAAGACATGTTGCATGTGAATTAGTTCTTTCTAAAGTGGCATTAGATGATACCCACTCAATGTAATGAATTTAATTTAATCTGGAAATGTGTAATATTAGATGATAACTCAGTGGTCTAGTGGTTATACTTTAAAGATCCAAGGTTCTGTTCTTAGTGTGGTTATGGGTGCACAATACTAAATTGTCTTATTCTAGAATTAAATATCTGTTAGATGTTTCCTGATTTTCAGTGGCGCCTCGAATGAAATCAACTAGTCTATAGTAAAACAACCTACGATTTAAAATCATCATCATAAAAACCATTTCATCTAAACCAGAATTATTGATTGTTAACTCATTTACAAGATAATGATATATATATATATATATATATATATATATATATATATATATTAAGCCACACTTTAAGTATGATGAAAGCTAGTGATACTATCCAATCGCCAAAATCATAGTAGATGGAGCTGAGTTCGAATCTACGATTTAATGACTTACAATTTAATACTTTAGCCATTAAGTCAGCCACTTCTTCAGTTAGCTTATTTCCAGATATTAATTATTTTCTGCTTGTTAACTAATTTTGTTTCATATTCATTTGTTTTATTTTATGTTCTCATTGAAAGTGTAGATTTTCAAAATAATACTCTTTTTTTCTTCCTAAAAAGTAGTTTCTTGTTATATGTTTTTAATATTGTTTAAACAACATTAAAATAACAATCAGACTCGCGCGCGACCGCTTAACCACTGATAGGTCCTGGGTTTGAATCTCGCGAGGTGGGGTTGTGGATAGGTATTGCTAAGGAGACCCATAATAGTTTCAATTGACTCATGATCTCAATTATTGAAATTACTACAATCTCTACAAAACCCTTTTTTATGATTAATAAGTGTTAATTATTTCAGAATAAAGACGATTCAATCATGATAGAAAAAGATGAAATAAAGATCAAATAAAGTTTAAAATTGTTTTTCTAGGTAAAAATCTTTAAAAAAACAAGAAAAAAAAAACATCTAATCCTACAAAAGTTTCGGTAACAATCTAAAAAATTAATGATATGTTCCATTTCACTGTTTTGTTAGAGATTAACTGAATACATCAAAAAAAAAAAAAGAAAAAAAACGAACAAACAAAGATTGATACAAAATGTTTACTGTTTACAATAAATATAAAGAGATTTTATTATCTGATAATTATCAAACTAGCTTATTCATATGTATAAATGAGTGGAAATAGTACAAAATAGTAATTAGCCGACTTATTTGCCTTAGTTCATTCTTATTTATCCATAGTGTAGTGTAGATCAATTTTACTCAGCTAACCAAAATAAAAAAATAAAAAAACTCCATTTCACAAAACACTTAACATCAAACAGGATTGTTTGAGTGAATTAAAGATATAAACTGCGTTTTTTTGTTTGTTTTTGTTTTTGACAGAACTTAATAGGATCAATAAGCTTTGTTAATTAATATGTTTGTCGGAATAAATTGATAGGAAATCGTGAATCTAGGTTTTATGGCAGTTGTTACTCATCAGGAAACTGTGCCAGGAATCCTATTGAAATTCTTAAATTAATTTCATGTCTTTAGTGTTAGCATATTTTAAAAGTTACATTTGCATTATTTTGTTTTCTTATAGTATTTATAAAGTTGAAAGCTAACCAATCTACTGATTCTTTTCTTGTCAAGATGATAATTTATTTTTATAGGATGTAATTACTTGTCTGTTGATTTAATTTAGTGAACATGTTTCTTTTCTTGATGTATTATTGAATTGAATACTTGGTAATGATCTTGGAAACGTGTTGTGATCTATTGATTGCGTGATTTAATCGTATGAAGCTTTCACATTGTCTTTCTAAACATCATCATCAGCACATATTTCAAAAGAATGTAACTTATTGGAATTTTACGATAGTTGGTTGATGGTTTATTCTGTTCACTTGAAATGTTATCAGTTCTTTGTGTGATTGTTGTTTGGATGTTTATTTCAAGTGTTTTCTTCCTCTGATTTTGCAGTTTTTTCTTTTTCTTGCTGGCTAATAGATTGGACAAATTTTGATGTGTTTACTGGTTAGTGTGTATGTGACTGGAGTATGAGGCTTTTCAAAAAATTTGTTGACTTTATATTTCTTGTATTAGGGGGAAAACAAAATATTCTCTAGAGGGCAAATGAAAGCTTCATATGATTAAATTATCTAGCTCATAGAACACAACACCATCAAACTCCTCATTCTGAGATATAAATGTTCTCCATCACTTTGTTCAATCATTCATTCACAATTTCTAACAGTTCATATTTTACTGACTTCAGTAATAAATTTAAAAATGTAGGTAATATGATCATCAATAAGTATAATCGATTTGTAACTATTTTCATTTTGTAGTTGATATCACGAACTGACTTTGATTAGACAACCTTTAAAAATCAGTAAACACTGGACAAAGTTTTCTTCCTGGTATGAGAATTAACAGTGAATATCGATAATCTTATCTGGGAGCTTTTATTTGATAGTAATTCATGTTGAAGTAGAAATGCATCCAAATTAGAGCAACATTCTACGTTAGATGTTCTCTAAATAGATATACTTCTTCCATAAATATATATATATATATATAAATATATCACTGGAACTTGTTGGATCATTAAAAAAATGAAATACTGAAGAATAAGTCGTCGAATTCTCTGAAAAGAAAAACTTATCGAAAATTCGAATTGTTTTCTCTATTGAGCACCTTATTCAGAAGATTAATCCATCATATACTAGCGCTTTTGGTCACTTCGGTGTTCATTTATCAGTCCACTCTCTTTTTTGGAGCTGTTTAGAAAGGTAAATACTTTTAGACAGTTTAATTAAATTACATTGTAGTGGACGAGAACTTAAGTAGAAAAGACCAATTTATTGTTTAAAGAGAAATCACACAGTGGGTTAGTAAAATATGAAAATCATACATTTAATGCATCGTTTGTCCTTTACACACACTATTATTCCTCTAATCCTGCTATTATTTCGATTGCTCTCCAATTTTCTTCCTATTCTCATCTTAATCTTCTGTTGCCAAGCCTTTCACTTTCTGTTGGTGCTACGTACTACTTATATTTGTCTGTACAAATAGCATACATCACAACATCATTGAAGACAAAATTTTTTTCCCTGAACCATCTACTTATAAATCAGTATAAATCAGCATAAATATTGTAAGAAATAGTCATACTGTACAATGATTGGCGTTTTTATGTATTATAAATGTAGCCAAGATTTTTTTTAATAATATAAAGTTACTTTAAGGTCAAAGAAGCGGTCACAAGAGAATTATTATTTAAGAAAAAAAATTTATTGACATGGATGAAGATACCTTCGTTTAGTGTCTTGTAGTCACATGATGTATTGACTGTAAATTATTTTGCTTTGTGAACATAAAGTTGTATCGCTTATTTCATATATTCACAATCACACACAGACACACATGATTGTTTTTTTATTCACATCGTACTATATAACATTGTAAATGTTTTACTAAATTGAGAATAATTATGCATTTTTTTAAAATAGATATCTCTTTTAATTCACTTTATAATGTTTTACTTGAATCTTCTCATTGATGTTTAGGACTGAAATTGATCAGTCTCTTATTGGCATACGTGCATACTGTGCGTATTGCCTCGATATTGCCTTAATTTACAAGCATTATAAGCAAATACGGATAGCGGCTAGCAATGGAATCCAGGATGCGTGTTTATTTATCTTGTCGTTCTAATGAGACATGTCAGCTTAAGTCAACGGACATTTCTACCAGACTCTTATGTTGATTATGATTGGTTAAATGATCTTGTGTAGAATTATGCTCATTTATTTATTATCTGGGATATTCTACATTGTGACAAAACGATCATCTAGTGTTCTACTGCTTTGTATTATAATTCTCTAATTTAATGAAGGCTAACATTGATAATGGCAAAAATGTTTTTGATCTATTTTGGTATATTGAGTTTTCGAAAAACGCGGTTACTGAACTTATGAACCGATTTAAGTAAAACAACTTTCACCCTAGTATGGTACTATTACTGCAGTTGATCAGTTTCTGTTGGCATATATGGATCCTTGAGTGGATCACTTTGATATCTCCATTTAGTCACAGGTATTTTAATAAAGTTGGGTAGTGGGAATCAGTGGAATCTAGGACGAACATTTCTTTCGATTTGGAGCTTATCAACCGGATGTAATTTTATCCTAGTGTATTAATGCCTGGACTGAAACTCGAACCCGATACCTTTCAATTCAGATGCTCAGCTTGTTGTCTACTAAACTACTAAGTCAAAGGATACATTAACTTGTACAAGAGTCGTGAGATTTATTTGTAAGGGTTTGTATTTTGGTCATGTTGGTTTCTGTCTGATCTGAGTAGCTCAACAGATAACACTAGGCGTTTGAAGCTAAAGGCAATGGGTTCAAGCCTTAATATGGACATCGAAACACTTTGATGCACATTTAACTCACGAGTCCCAAATTAGAAGAAACACGCATCATTTATTCCAGTCTAAACTACTATCTAACTTTACCAAGACATCGTTGAATACTACTATAGCTTAATGATTATATTTGCTTATTTATGTAAATTATTTGTTTCGTTCTAAATATTTATTCCCTAATTGAGTGTTTTATTTTAAAATAACACTTGAAATCTTGTGTGTCTTTGAACTTTGTTTTTCTCCCATATTTTTTTCGCTATTCTTTATTTACTTATACTGTGACTAATTTTCCCCTAGCTTTATCGATTTGTTATGTTTTGTTTTCTTTTTTTGGTCAATTCGCTGACCAATCAACCGATGGAATGATTGGTTACTAAATTGATATTTTTTGTTAAATGTTTTTTTTAGCCGCTATATTAAAATATGAAAATAATGTAATGAATATACGTCAGTTTAACTGTTCACCACATCCATATTGGCTACCCAATTTCATGGATGTATTTACTTGGTCATTACCATTTGTCGGTGAAAAAGGTAGGTGATGATGTTTGTTTATTACAAAAAAAATTTTAAAAATAGGAAAATTGTGTTTATAATGTTTATAAAATGAATCGGTGATGTGAAAGTAAAAACTGCTTGCTCTTATGTTTATATATGTAGAAGATGTAAAGATCAAGAGTGTTGTACGGAACTTGATTTCGTTATCTTATATATGCATTTCTAGAAAGAGTTGGTCAAAGTGAATAACTGATTAGTTAGACAGAAAAAAAACCATAATTCAATTTAGTTTACTGGTGCTAATAATAACAAGCAGTGTGAAACATATACTCATAAAAAGAATCAACTATGCAACTGATCATCAAAACACAGTACAATCCACTTGTAGTCAAGATTGTATATGGAATGAACGATTTTACATTCTACTCTCTATCAAATAAACATTTATTTTTATACGTAATAATTAAAGTTATATGATGACAGTATAAACATATGAATAAATTGAAACTATTTGTTTTAATTATTCATGAAAACAATGAGTAAGAAATTGTAGGAAAGTACTACCGATGAATAATGTAACTGATTTACTAAGTATCATAAAGGATAGTGATACTAGTTAAACTTGACAGATTTTTAATATGACATAACTTAGTTCCATTGTTTTTACTGTGATTTAATGGTTAAACTATTCGATTTTCATCCATTAAGTTACAGTTCTGAAACCGATTCTATTTAATTCTGTTTAAGTAACTGATTGATATTATCAGTAGGTCTTACATTTAGCAAATGACTTGAAGTATGTACTTCATGAATTTGTATTTGATAAATGAATAAAAAAGAAAAAAAAAGTCATTTGTAATTAACATGATATTGAATTTTCCAGTATTATTTTATTTGGTTAACATCTTCGATATGATCGAAAAAAAAATGTATGTATAAACGTAATAAAATACTTTCTTTTCAGTTTTTGTTTGTTTGTTTGTTTTCTTTTCTATAATCAGTTATTATCATGATCGAGAATAATCAGTTTTATTTTAATTAATTGTTGTGTATGTGTGTTTTACATTGTTAATTTCCTTTTTTTTTTTTTTTTATTTTTTGTTCTCTCAAATTTTCATTAACTTTCTGTTCTTAATTATGGTCAACAAAAATCCCGGTTTTACAGAAAGAAAAAAATAATAAAAACATAAAAATGATAATAAAAGCAAAACGTTTTTAGAGCTTAATTAATTTTTATTCTTTCATTTCGTCATAATTCAGGTCTTTTTAATAAATGATGGTATTATTATTATTATAATTGGTAGAAGTAGAAGAGAATGGACTTATTTCAATCTTTGTTTGTTTGTATTAAATCGTTGTAACAAGGATTACAGTGCTGTGATCTCCGGTCGTCCCATGATACTTGTGAATTAAGAAACGATTGAACTAGTTTAATTTTAAAAAATAGTTCTCTCATGGATTCGACAATGACAGCTAGTATACAACACTTCAATAATTAGCAATTAATCCTGGAAAAAGATGAAGTATAGGGAAATTTGTTGTTAAAACTGATAACTTGAGAAGATAGTATATATAGTAACAGGGGGTCGACCTTGAAAGATACCGAAAATTAGCTAAATAAACATAGTGACTATCAATCAGAAAAGTTTAAGGTCATGAGAAAACTTGAATTCATTAAAAGGAATCAGTTATTACCGTTTTTGTCAAGACTTCAGCACTATTGACAAAAGTTAAATAATCTCATGATCGACTAAGCAGCTTGTTTGTTACTTCGTAAATAAATTAAGTTGACACAAGTTTCAAAATGAAAAAAGTATTTACTTCTTGTCCCAAATAATTGTTAAATAGCGTTAAAGATTGTTATTGATGATGATTATGATCTTGACAACGACATTTATCTTGGTTTACTTCAACAAAAATTTAGTGAAAGACGTCAACATCATAAAGGTATCATTTAAAACGGGTACATATCAATAAAGACGAGCATCAAATGGACAAAAATAAAAGATAATTAGTCATTCATTTAAAAATGGCCATACTTGGGTATTGAGTACAACCTCAAGTGACAGAAAGTGTGCAGTTTATAAATCTAATTATTATTCATTACAATTGATCGATCATTAAGTAGCGACCAGTATCATTTGCTAATCGAATTCTATCGAATAAGTTCCAATGTAACGACTAACCTAATTGACCCAACATCGCGAGGACTTTGTTAGGATGGTAAGCGATTAGAGGTGACCAACAAGCAACATAGATTCAGGGATTTTTGTTGACTAGTTCTAATCATATAACATCTCGAATTAGTATCTATTCGTCTTACAACAAACTAGTTGAGTAGAGTTCAAGATCGTACGAAATTTTTTTTAAAGAAACAAATTACATTCTACGTTATACTTTTAGTGCTTCATTAAGATGCTATTAGTAAATATCAAAAGCACCAAGTCAGTTGGTCTTTTGATAGTTAATGGGTATGCCGTATGAAAAGAGAAACCTATTAACAACAAAAACACTTGAAAGCATTGTCCAATTACTTTGCATTGAAGTGTGTTGATTCCACTATCATACAAAATATGAGGTTATTTCAAAGCAGCTAACAGAACACAATCTTGTTTTCAATAGAATCAAATTGCTTTTTTTATATTTCCTTTTCTTTATGCCCCCCTTTTGACCTTTCTTTATTGAAAGATACTTGTTTATCTTGATCTCCTTCCAGGAGGTCCACTTATCGACTTAGAATATGCAGACGTCATGGTCCTGTTTAGTGAAGACACTCGTAAGATGCAAAGTCTTTTGGTAGCACTGAGAAACAATCCAAGAATGTTCGGGATGCGTTTCTCCCCTTCTAAATGCAATTTATTGCTTCAGGACTAGATTGCGTCAACACTTGAACTAAGGACAGGCAGTGAAGTAGTTGAACGCGTCGACAACTTCACTTATCTCGAGAGTTTGATCAACCCAAATGGGTTGGTGTCCGACAAAATCTCTTCACGGATTCGAAAAGCTCGTTTGGATTTTGTCAACTTATGTCACTATGGTGACAGCGAGATATCTGTCTATCAATTAAGGAACGCGTATACTGCGCAGCAGTTCGTTTTGTTTTAATTTATAGTTACGAAACGTTGCCATTAAGATTAGAAGCTACTCGTAAGTTACGGGTATTTGATAACAAATGCCTTATAAATATTGCATGCGTCTGCTGGGATCACCGGGTAAGTAATAGTGAGGTTAGATGCAGGGTATTAGGGAAAGCTAGTAAATAAATCTTTCTTTCTACCAACTGATTCTTTCTTCTTGTGCTATATCCTTATATGCAATCTTTTTTTATACATTAATACCATTGAAGTGACTACTTCTATGAATTTGGTCTTCATCTTTTTGTGTCAATGAGATGTGGCATCTTAGACCGATGCATATATGTGTCTAGTCCTACTTTGTAGCTGACTGAATGACTTGTTTATTTGGAATAGTTAACAATGATTTACGGCATAGCTTCATACACCTCTATTAGCTGTAAGAATATTGTAACGTTCAGGCTCCGGAAGGTTTACGTCTAGTCTGAAGAACGTACGATGTTTTTCAAAGGCGTAGTGTGCTCTACACTGTGCATGGGGATCTGTAAGCAAGGAGAGTGAGATAATGATTCTATTCATTTTCGATTATGTTGGCTCTCTCTCTCTCTCTATAAAGAGTTAGAATACTAGTGTTGGATGTTATTATTCAGGACTTGACTTACACTAGTCATTTTTAGGATATGTCCATCATGAACAGGTACTTTAGTGCTATCTACATGGTTATATTTCCGAATGTTCGGCAGTATTAAACTTTAGATGAATGATTAAACTATGTCCCAAATTTAAAAACAAAATGGAAATGACAAACTCGTACTAATAATAAATATTAGGCAAGTTAGTGCCTATATGTTGACTCAGTAGTTTATTGAATAACACATTAGCGCCGAAGAGCGACAAACGTGGATATAAACTTTGTTATACAAATGCATCCAACTAATGAGTCTTTAATTAAATGAAAACGCATGTCCTATATTCTGTTGTTAGCAACAAAATGAAATTTAATATGGTTATAATTTGGCACAGATGATTGATGGGTTGATAATTTGCTGATAAATTTTATACTAAAACACAAACTAAGTTGATTACAAAAAACATGATTACTAAAAAAATAATGTTTCTGTATTTAGCTACATACTTCGTCATTTATAAATGTATATAAGACTCAACCAAGAAAAAAATATTCATCAAAGATAAAAATGAATGATATGAGATGATTGATAGGAGTAGTTACACTTTTTGCTATCATTTTAATGGCTTTGAGGTGATGTTGAATTATATGAAATAAGTCGTTATTTGAAAATGATGTTATCAAAATTGACAATAAATGCTACACAATTAAATTCATCTTGTTCAAAGAACACATTACTCATAAAGAAATCATTCATCTGAATTACAAATCTCCATCATCATCATCATTTCAATCACTAATGGTTTATGATGAAAATTTAATAAATGTATTTCATCCTATTGAGGACTCGTCAGCTAGATTCACTAGTAGATCAATGTGTTGATATCCACGGTGGGAGTCGAACCAGTACCTTTCAATCCAAATACTAATATGGTTTCCGTTTTAAGCTAATCAACCCATTTTATAAGGCTTTAAAAATTAGTTTTGTCAAGCTATATCTGCCAATAAAAATATTAATCAAAGCTCAGTCAAGATTATTAACAAATGGCTGATTCAGATCTTTACTAATAACGGTATAGAGCTACTAAAACTAAAATATTAATCCTTATTTTTAGTACCTTCTCAACCAGAAAATTAATAGTTCTTTGTCCTATTTCTGTGTTGCTAAACTGTTAGGGTTGTTGTGTTATTATTTTTGTTTGTATATCACATTGATCCTTGTTCATCATTCACGTATAGCTTAGTTGACAGAATTTCTTCCATTCATAAATCGATTATAACCATTCCCTTCCTGACAACTGTTTATCAATTTTTAGTGAAAGACAACTTTCCTA